TTTTAGTCAGATTTTAGGATTTATGAGTAGGATTATTCTTTGCTTTTGTGTTAAACCTATTTGAAAAAGTTTTAAATTGAGTAAGATACTATTTTGGCAGGGGAAAAGGTTGATATCTTATTTTTTTTTTTTAAATAGTAAAGAATCGTTGTAATTTTAAGTACCCAGTAAAAGGGAGATAATCAGGAATCGAATACGAAAATTTATCAGAATGAGATAATTGGGTGTTACCAGAATAAGTACCAGAAATGAAAGGTTTGAACGTTAATTAAGCTAGCAAAAAGGGGGAAAAATGCAAACAAGTAGAATAATTATAAAATATGATATTGAAAAAAATGAAGGAAATTAACTGCTGAATGATACAAGTAAACTAAATGGTCTTATTTAAAAATTGTCACATGTGAAGCTTTAAGGAAGAAAAATTCCTTTATAATAAAAGCTTTATTTAAGGAGGATGTTTATGTTTTTTATTTGCTTTTTTACTGCTACATATTATCTTCATTAGATTTGAATAAACTCATTGAAGTTACTTAAATTTGTTCAAACTTTTTTTTTTGTCTTTTTGAGATGGTTTCACTAGGTGGTGTAGGCTGGCCTGGAACTCACAGCAGTGCTGCCTCAGCACTGGGATTATAGGCATATGCTGCCACACTCAACCCTGTTCAAACTTAAGCATGTCACCTTTTTTTTTTTTTTTTTTTTTTTTTTTAAATGAATTTAGGACAGGGTCGTAGTGATTCTCATGTTTTCAGCCTCCCAAGCCCTGGGATTATAGGCTTGCACCACCACACCCAGTCTCAATCACTGTGTAAGTGCACCCTCAGAATGGGGCTGGCATGACCCTTTACCACTGAGCTATCTGGCCAGCTCAAGCGTGTCACTCTTAAAAGTTGTTTTCAGGGGCCAGCAAGATAGTTCAGCAGACTACGCACCTGCTTAAGAAAGCGCAGGGACCAGAGTTCCACCCCAGCACCACATGCAGCGCTGGCCCTGCCCCTGGGCAAGTTGACCTGGCTGTGGAGATGGGCTGGTGGTGCATGCCTATAATTCCAGTGCTGGGGAGGCTGAAAACTGGAAGATCACTACAAGTTCGAGCTGCATACTGAGGCCCTGTAACAACCAAATACATTAAAAAAAAGTTATTTTCAAAAGTGTTCTTTTTACTCTAACATTGCCATTTCTTAAAATATTTTTGAAAATTTTTCAAGAAAATTTAACTTTTTAAAAAAATATTCTCACTAATGATGTGTCTTTGTAAGCAAAACAAATTTTAGTCCTAGCTTTTTGTTATATATGTTTGATTCTTAAAAACTTGAATGATTTTCTTGTCTCATTTATAAAAACATGAGAATCATTGTTACACTACAATCAAAGTGGACATAGCATCGTTGAAAGTGTACATTTCATGATAGATATTTTGCAAAAGCACAACTCACTGAGATAGATAAGTCCTGATAAGTTACAAATTTCTGATGCATTACCTAATAGAAAAAATTTTTGACTGTTAAATAATTTATTCATTTTTCTTCATGTGAAGTGTAATGAACACATTTAGAGAAAAAAAGTCCTTTACTCGAAGTATAGGTGCTTGACTTGTAATCTAACTCAGTGTTTTCTCTTTTTAGTGTGGACGTAGTCAGCTTATTCTTCAAAAAGTTCAAGCGTTGCTAGAAAAAGCTTTTAGCTTAACCCCTCAGTCATCGGAATTTGCTGCAGAAATTGGATACCAAATGATTTTACAAGGAAAAGTTAAAGAGGCGTTGACATGGTATCAGACTGCAATGACCCTCGATAACACCAGCATCTCCGCACTTATCGGTAGGGTGACTGTTTCTGTAAATGTTCCTGATAAGGCATGCAGCAGTTGCTTAGTTAAGTGCCTGTGGCTAAACAGGAAAATATATATTTCAGTTTTCTAAAGTTAAGCTATTCTCTGCTAGCCCCATCCCTTTTATTGGCTAGAGAAAAGGTCATGGGTTTACAAATAAAAGTTTTATTTCACAAATAGAATAAATTTTTATGAGATAGTTTCTGTAAGTTTGAAATTCTGGAATAAATGATTTTATATGAAAGTAGAGATTCTCTACTTTAGTTCACTCTTTTTCCAATTTTGTTACTGTTTTAATTTAAAACTAAAATTTTGTGATGGGGAAATATGTTTTATTAGCATTGCTTATGTTATTTTGCAATGTACATGCCTCAATTGGAATAATTTTTGGCAGTTTTTGTTCTCTTTGATTGTAGGATTCATCCGCTGTCAGTTAATGGATGGGCAATTCCAGGAGGCAGATCAGCAGCTAGAATTCCTCAGTGAAGTTCAGCAGTCCATGGAGAAATCTGCGGTACAATTTTTTGATCAGATAGTAGATCCCAGCTACGTACAGAGCATGAAAAGTGTGTGTGTGTGTGTGTGTGTGTGTTTTAGGGAAGGGTCTACAGGGTGTTCACATCTCACTACTAGATGGAACTCCTAGTGGTTCTCTGTTTACAGCCTTCCAAGTGCTGGGATTACAGGGGCGCGCCACCACACCCAGTCTCAGTTGCTGGCTCAGCGTGCCCTGGGCACAGGACCCGTGCGGCAGGCCTGGGGATCAAATCCCTGGCCCCTGCACCTGCTTGCAGGCACTTTAATCATCTGAGCTATTTGGCTGGCCCCAACGCATAAAATTTTAATTCAATATTCTTAGTGATGGCTCTAAAGGACTAATGTATGCTAACTTTAAAAATGTCATTGTATTTATTATTTTACCCTATGCAAAGCTAGACTTAGAAACATTCTTCTTAATGATTCTAAATGTCAGTGCTCCAGGTTAATACTGAATTTTGAACAAATAATTGCACATAAATAATACTTTATGTACATTTGAAATCTAAGTAAAAAAGGTAAATGGGTTTATAACTGAATGAAATAACATGAAAACTATTTCTTTTCCAGGATTTAATCTATTTACATGCAGTTCTTGCTATGAAGAAAAATAAGCAAGAAGAAGAAGTTGTATGTTTATTAAATGATGTTTTGGACACTCATTTTTCACACTTAGAAGAGTTGCCTCTTGGCATACAGTATTTTGAGACTTTAAATCCTGATTTCTTACTAGAAGTTATTACAGAGTATCTGAATTTCCGTCCAATGCTGGTAAGTAATTCTGGGACATTTTCAAGGATATGATTATACACTTTATAGAAGGTACTAACAAGTTATAGTTGATATAATAGACTGTATCAGCATCTAAAGACTACACAATTTGTAACTGTGGTATTTAAAGTAGATTTTCTTGTGGATTTCTTAGTAGTCACAATATACCTAACCAATAGGTTTCATTATATGTGAAATAAAATAAGCAATACCTGCCTACAAGATTGGGCAAAAATCAAATCAGACTATATAATCTTAAAAAAAAAATGAGTATAATTTGTTATTTGAAGTACTTCTAAATGAGAGTGTTTATAGTAATGACTGTTACCAATTAATAAAAATACTAGTTTATTCATATTCATGTTGTTAAAAACTTAAAATCTTCACTTTAGAAGGACTATTAGAAATCATTGCCTTCTAACACTCACTGTATGTTGGAATCTACTTTGTAATACCTTCAGGTGCCCCCTAACCTCTGAGCACACTACAAGTGGCATTTTTATTACCTAACTGTGAGAATTGAATTGCAGTTCCTACTGAATTCAGCTTTCTTGCTCATTGGAATAACAGGAAGCCCAGGATGTAGCTTTAAGAAAGAATCATTTCTCATACAACAGATTTTCAGTTTTCTTGTTACCTTAAAAAATTTCACATTTGCAACAGTTTAGTTTTGTATACTGAAATAGTTTTAACCACCCTGGTTTTGAACCTGACAACGCCCTTTGTTTTGTCTTTGCCTCTCCTTAGATTCATTATCCCAAATATAGGTTTGACCTGCAAGTCCTAACATAGACCCCTTTCCTCCCTTTTTCTATTTGTGCATCAGGGCTTGTACTCTGTGTTTGTGAATCAGTTATATTATTGACTCCTAATGCATTGACCTTTAAGCAAAGTCATTAGATCTGTCCTTTGTACTTTTGGACTCAAGTGTAGAACTCTACATTGAATCCTGTGCAACTGTCTTCTCATTCATCCTGGAACTGCAGATTATCACACTCTCTGGATCTTGTCATCTATTTTGAATGGAACCTTAACTTCATCTGTCACCTGCTTTTTCTAGCTCTAAGATAATCAGGATGGTCCTATCTGATTATTAACAGTTTTGAGTAGAAGTGACAATGGAATCCCGTGTTATTCTACCAAATAATTCTTTCCCAATTGATACAGATACATTAGTCAGCTTCCTTTTATTACAGACAGAAAACAAATATAAATGACCTATCTTTATTAGACCTAGGCTTACGATACCCAGCTCACATTTCAAACTAGAGTATCAGGAGGGTCTCTATCAAGTAGATCCTTGCTAGAAGCCAAATTTGTTAACATGTGCTCCAATGGAGGGCTTCAGAAACTATGTAAACAGAGGAAATGAAAATAGCTTGTACTTGGGGGAGTCATGGTGCTTTAATTTTCATGTCTTTTCCCAGACTTTCCTAAGTACTCTTTATGAACTAAACCTTCACAGAATCGTACTTGTGGGGACCTGCCCCTTAGCTCAGTTCTTTAAGTGGCTGCTTCAACAAAGCAGTCAGGCTCAGGTTGCTGTGGTT